TGGTCTCGATCTCTTGACCTCGTGATCCACCCGCCTCGGCCTCCCAAAGTGCTGGGATTACAGGCGTGAGCCACCGCGTCCGGCCAATTCATTTAATTTTTATTTAAAAATATTTGTTGGGGCCAGGCGCAGTGGCTCATGCCTGTGATCCCAGCACTGTGGGAGGCTGAGGTGGGCGGATCACCTGAGGTTGGGAGTTCAGACCAGCCTGGCCAACATGGAGAAACCCTGTCTCTGCTTAAAAATACGAAACTAGCTGGGCGTAGCGGTGCCTGGACTCCCGAGTCCTCAGTCTCGGGAGGCTGAGGCAGGAGAATCACTCAAACCCGGGAGGCAGAGGCTGCGGTGAGCTGAGATCGCGCCATTGCACTCAGCCTGGGCAATGAGCAAAACTCCGTCTCAAAAACATAAATTTTGTAGATATGGGGTCTCACTATGTTGCCCAGGCTGGTCTCCAACGCCTAGGCTCAAGCCAGTCCTCCTGCCTCCACCTCCTAAATGCTGGGATTACAGGATGAGCCACAGCACCTGGCCTGAGGTATATATTTTTTAATGGGAGAGGGGATCCAGGAAGGCCTCTTTGAGGAGGTGCTATCTGAGGAATGATCTGGAAGGAGGTGAGGGAAGTGGGGAAAGGTGCTGGAGGCAAACGCAACCACCCACAGGAAGCCCTGAGGCGGCGTGGCGGGGCTCAGCAGCCACAGTCGCGAGTTTTCGAGGGACTCCTCCGTCCCGGCATGTTGCAGGAACTGTGAAGAGCCCTGTGTGGCTGGGGCAGGGTGGAGAGGGGGCGAGGCAGGTGATGCAGGTCCCAGCGGGCTGCAGGGAGGGGACTTGGGCTTCCACCCTGGGAAGGTGGGAGCCATAGAGGCTGGTAGGCAGAGGAGGGGCAGGTCCTGGCTGGGATGTTAATGATCACTTTTTATTTTTCTCCCCACACACTGGGCTGTGGCCACCCTTTGGGAGGGGGAGGGGCACCCAGAGCTTTCTCAGCCATCCTCGGGGAGCACCGGCTGGGACGAGAGGCTCGGTGACAGCCCCTCTTCTGTTCCCCCACTGTTTGGCAAACACAGTGTCGGCTCCAAGGAGACGGATGGCCTGGGAATCATCAGATCCTGTGGCTGGACCCTCCCTCCTCCCAGCCTGGTGCCCAGAGTCACCCATGGGGTGTGCCCTCTCACCCCCAATAGCACAGGGCTAGGAACCCTGTCTCAGGGGCAGGCAGGAGGGGGATACAGCCCAGGGTGGGCGTCACGGCCATCCCTCTGCCCGCCCACCCACAGTCAGGCCAGCACATAGGTTGGCTTCAGCACGCAGGTTTCCAGGTCTGGGTTTGAATCTGGTCCTCACCATTTACTAGCACAGGGCGCCTTCTCCAGGAAGCCTCCCTGGGTTGTCCCAAGTCCCCCAGGGCGGGTTTCCACTCCCAGGGTGCCCCCCAGCTCAGCTGTTGTTCCATCTTGGTCTGCATTTTGGTCCAAGTCCCTTGCGGAGAGTGACAGGTTCCCCTCCACACTGAGGACACCCCCTGTTTCTTGCCAAGACCCCGAGACCCCGCTTCTGCCTGGGTAGTGCGAAGGTAGCGTTTGTTCAGTCCACGACCTCATCTCGGGCTCATAACCACTCTCTGTTGCTCCATTGAACCAGACATGTATTAAGCACCAAATGTATGCTGGGCACTATTCAAGATGTAGGGCAGAGAACACCGTATGCGAACCTGGGGGGGAGTGTTTCAGGCCAAGGGCACGGCCCACGTGGAGACCCTGAGGCAGATCCATGCCAGGCGTGCTGGAGGCGTGGCGAGGAGGCCCGTGTGGCTGGGATGAAGTGAGAGGAGGAGGAACCTGGGGGAGACGGCGCGGGTAGGAAGCTGGATGTTACGGGACATGGTGCAGAGCACGAGAGGAAACCGAGGCACAAAGATGGTGATCGGCCAGGGCATCCTGGCATAGCCAGGGATCTGAACTACACCCCCCCCTTGTGGATGGAACTGGAGGCCAGACGACACACAGGCAGTCCCTTGGGGGCCCAGGAAGGGAGCCCAGCTGGCCCGTGAGTCACTCAGCCTGGTACAAGTCATGGGCAGGGAACAGGGGAAAGGTGCTGGGCCCCGGGCCCACGCTGGGCTGGGCAGGTGGCCACGTGACCACCCAGGCCGCCTCCCCCGGGCCCATTGGCTGCCTGCCCCTGCCGGCTGGGCCTACGCCTGCCCCAGACCCTATAAGGCCAGGGAGCTGAGGGTAGAGCCAGCTGCCAGCCGGGCCGGTCCGTCCACTGTGGGACCCTGAGCAGTCCAGGTGAGCGGGGCTGTGGCTGCCTCAGTGACGCCAGGGCGAGGCCAGGCTGCAGGTGGGTGTCGGGGCTGCTCAGGCCCTTGGCAGGGAGTGGGTGTGGGACGGGAGGCGTGGGAACCCCAGTTCACGCACCTTCTCTGCCCACTTCCAGCTTCTCACGTTCTCACTATGTCTGCTCCGGATGAAGGGAGCCGGGATCCCCCCAAACCCAAAGGCAAGGTAAAGAGAATAAAGTGGAGGCAGATTCTTGCTGCAGCTCAGAGATGCCCCAGAGCCCAGGAAGGCAACATCCACGGTCCTAGGGGCTCGGTTCTGGAAAGGGGCTTCCCTGGTGGGCCTGGGGGGCTCTGGGAGCCACAATGCCAACCTCTCCCTTCCTAACTCAAGCTGGAGGTGGGGGACCCATGCTGACCTCAGCCCCTTCCCCAGTGGGTGACCTTGGGCCGGCCTTGGCCCCGCCCCTCTCTGAGCCTCAGTTTCCCCATCTGTGCAGCAGGGATCCTGGAAGGAAAAGGTCTTTTCCTGTGTGTGTGGGAGGTAGGCTGTGTCTGCCCATTGCCCAGGTGCAGAAACTGAGGCTGATTGAAACACTTTCCCGAGGTTACCCAGGACCAAGGGGCTGGGGCAGTGCTGGGCTGATAGATGGATGGTTCCTCTGACTTCTGTCCCTGCCGAGGCTTGGCCGGCTCATCCTGCACACCCCCCGCCCCGTGCAGACCCTGGGCAGCTTCTTTGGGTCCCTGCCTGGCTTCAGCTCTGCCCGGAACCTGGTAGCCAACGTACACAGCTCGACAAGAGCCCGGTCAGCCGCCATCCCCGTGGGAGCTCCTACCGCTGAGGCTGCCCGACCACAGGCTGAGGGTGAGTGGCCGGCCCGGCTGGGGCTGCCAGGGGACTCTGCATGTGGACCCAGGAGAAGGAGCACCCCAGGCAGGGACTTCCGGTCATCTGGGGAGCCTTACATATTTGTCTGTTTTCTCATCAGATACTGTGACATCTTGTACCAGATGGGGAAACTGTGGCATAAATGGGGGGATGAGTGGCCAAAGGTGGCGTAAAATGCCCAGCCAAAATGGGCTTTCAACCCAGCCTGTTTCCCTGCAGTGCCCCCCACTCAGTCCCTCTGCCATGTCTCCACTCTGTACCCCGCTTCTGATGTACCATGGATCAGGCTGGGTGCTCTGCCCATCTGAGCTCATCAGAGTGAGGTCCAGGCTCCCTGGGAGAGGCAGCAGCTCTCCTGGAGTCACACAGCCTGGGGGCTCCCCAGCCTCCTGTGGCTCACCTTGGGCAATTGGGGACGGTGACAGGGAACCCAGGGTTGGGGCGGTCGCCCAAGCTGGGCCTCCCTCTGGGCCCAGAGCCCCAGGCAGCTGACTTCTGCTCCACATACCTCGGCCTGGCGACAGGCAGCAGGCAGCTGCGGCAGGGGCGGGGCTGGCCGGTCCTGGCAACGGGCAGCTCCCTCATCCCAGGCTATGTGAACCCCAGGACTCAGGGTGGGTGTCCAGCACCCAGCACAGGAAGCTCCATGGAGGCTTCTCCAGGGAACGGTGGCTCTGGGCTTGGGGGAGCCTCCAGTGGGGTTGGGGAGGGTGACAGGCCTGGCTGGTAGCCATGGATGTCACCTCCTGCTGTCCCTGGCAGGGTGGCTGAAACATTCCTGACCTTTCAGGCCGGGCCCGGCTATTGCGCAATGGGTGGCCGAGTAGAGGACGAGTAGATGATTCTAACCCGTATCCCTCACCCTCCCTGACTGGCCCGTGTCCCCACAGTAGCCGCCCACCCAGAGCAGACAGCTCAATGGACGGAGGAGCTGCAGCCTTCGGGAAAGGTGAGAGGCATGGGCAGGGCAGGACTGATGTCGCAGGAACCCTCGGGGTACCCCTCCTGGGACATTTCCGTTCCTGCCATCTGGGGGGCTGCTGTCGGCCTGAAGGAAGCAGATAGCCTGGGGATTCCAGGTGGAGCTTCCCCTTTGAGCCTCTATTTCTGCATCTGTGAAATGGGTGTGGTAGCCTCCTCACTGTAATCATGCAAGGCTCCAGGCTATGGAGGGCTATCCCTGGCACGGTGTGACCAAAGCAACAGCACCATGAGCACTTTTTCTTTCTTTTTTTATTTTTTGAGACACAGTTTCACCGTTTCTCCCAGGCTGGAGTGCAGTGGTGCAATCTCGGCTCACCGTAACCTCCGCATCCCAGGTTCCAGCGATTTTCCTGCCTCAGCCTCCCGAGTAGCTGGGATTATGGGTGCCCACTATCATGCCCAGCTAATTTTTGTATTTTTAGTAGAGACAGGGTTTTAGCATGTTGGCCAGGCTGGTCTTGAACTCCTAATCTCCAGTGATCTACCTGCCTCAGCCTCCCAAAGTGCTGGGATTACAGGTGTGAGCCACCGTACCTGGCAAGAGGAGCTGTGTTTTGTTTTTTTTTTTTTTTTTTTTTTTTTTTTTTTTTTTGAGATGGAGTTTCGTTCTTGTTACCCAGGCTGGAGTGCAATGGCGTGATCTCGGCTCACCGCAACCTCCGCCTCCTGGGTTCAGACAATTCTCCTGCCTCAGCCTCCTGAGTAGCTGGGATTACAGGCACGCGCCACCATGCCCAGCTAATTTTTTGTATTTTTAGTAGAGACGGGGTTTCACCATGTTGACCAGGATGGTCTCGATCTCTTGACCTTGTGATCCACCCGCCTCGGCCTCCCAAAGTGCTGGGATTACAGGCTTGAGCCACCGCGCCCGGCCCAAGAGGAGCTGTTTTAATCAGCATTTTCCAGACGCAAGGATATTAGCTCAGAGAGGGCATGTGGCTGGCCTAAGGCCACACAGCACAGCGAGTGTCGGGCGGGAGAGGGTAAAAACCTGGGACTTGAACCGGAGTGTCTCCAGCTAGAGTTCAAGGTGCCCACCTGAGCCAAATCTAGCGGGGAGATGGGTTCTGAGAAAATAATTTCTGGGCTTTTCAACCTCAGTATTGTGGATACTTGGGGTCGAATCACTCTGGGGTGGGGCCACCCTGGGCACTGCAGGGTGCTGAGCAGCGTCGCTGGCCCCCACCCACTCCCTGCCAGGAGCACCCCCAGTTGTGACACCCACAGATGTCTCCAGATATCACCAAGACTGCCCCTAAGGACACGATCACCCGTTTGAAAGCTACTGACTTAAAGTAGCACGTTGGTGAGGTGGCTTATGACTGTAATCCCAGCACTTTGGGAGCCCAAGGTGAACAGATCAGTTGAGCTCAGGAGTTCAAGACCAGCCTGACCAACATGGAGAAGCCCCGTCTCTACTAAAAATACAAAAATCAGCTGGGTGTGGTGGCGGGTGCCTATAATCCCAGCTACTCAGGAGGCTAACGCAGGAACATTGCTTGAACTCAGGAGGCGGAGGTTGCAGTGAACCAAGATTATGCCACTGCATTCCAGCCTGAGTGACAGAGTGAGACACTGTCTCAAAAAAAAGCACCTTACAGGTACACCTGAGTTTTAGAACTCCTCGGCCATCATCGCCTTCACTCATTTGTTTTTATTTTTTTAATTATTACTATTTTTTTGAGGCAGAGTTTTGCTCTGTCACCCAGGCTGGGGTGCAACAGCACAATCTCGGCTCACTGCAACCTCTGCCTCCCAGATTCAAGGGATTCTCCTGCCTCAGCCTCCCAAGTAGCTGGGATTACAGGAGTGTGTCACCATGCCCAGCTAATTTTTGTATTTTTAGTAGAGACAGGGTTTCACCATGTTGGTCAGGATGGCCTCGAACTCCTGACCTCATGATCTGCCCCCATCGGCCTCCCAAAATGCTGGAATTACAGGTGTGAGCCACCGCGCCCGGCCTGTTTTTACTTTTAAAGGTCTCACTCTGTTGCCCAGGCTGCTTTCAAAATCCAGGGCTCAAGCAATCCTCCCACCTTAGCCTCCCATAGTGCTGGGATTACAGGCATGAGCCACTGTGCCCAGCTTGAATATACTATTATTTTTGAGACATAATCTCACTCTGTTACCCAGGCTGGAGTGTGGAGTGGTATGATCACATCTCACTACAGCCTCAAACTCCTGGGCTCCAGCAATCCTCCCGCCTCAGCCTCCCAAGTAGCTGGGACTACAGGTGTGCGCCACCACCCAGCCAGCTGTTCAAATTTGGTAGACATGGGTCTGGGTCTGGTTTGGTTGTCCCGGCTGACCTTGAAGTCCCAGGCTCATGTGATCCTCTCACCTTGGCCCCCTAACGTGCCAGGATTGCAGGCATCAGCAATCACAGCTGGCTTGGATATAATGAAATGTTTTTTGTTTTTTGTTTTTTTGAGATGGAGTTTTGCTCTTATTGCCCAGGCTGGAGTGCAGTGGCGCAACAGCTGACCACAACCTCGGCCTCTGGGTTCAAGTGATTCTCCTGCCTCAGCCTTCTGAGTAGCTGTGATTACAGGTGCCCGCCACCACACCTGGCTAATTTCATATTTTTAGTAGAGATGGGATTTCTCCATGTTGTCCACACTGGTCTTGAACCCCTGACCTCAGGTGATCTGCCTGTCTCGGCCTCCCAAAGTGCTGGGATCACAGCCATGAGCCACCCCACCCGGCCTGATGTAACAGTTTTAATAAGCAATTTGGTGTCCCTGGTGTCACTAGGACACCAGGCTCAACATTGGCCATGAATGGAGAAAAAGCAAGAGGAACAGAAACGTTAACAGGAGGACCTGCACTGAGTCCATGCCTGGGGACCTTGGCGTCCGCGATGTGCTGTTACAGACAAGGCCTGCCTATTGCAGGGAAACAGAAGGGGTGAGAATGGACGAGGTAGGGCGCTGTGAGCTCATGAGGACGTCGTTCCTGAGAGGCAGGGTGCCACCCCACAGCCTGATGAGTGTCTGGCTGACCCGGTTGGGGGTAAGAAGGAAGCACCTCGCTCTTCGAGGAAGTGGGGCCTCTGGGTGCCTACAGTTCCTTGCCCCAAGGCACATTAAGGGGCTGGGCTGGCGGACGTCAGGGTGGAGAGCTCCTCTCAGTCCCCCTCTTGATCACCTGTGTCCTTTCTCAGCAGATGGTGTCCGAGGCCAAAGACCTGGTGTGTTCCAAGATGTCCAGGGCCAAGGACGCTGTCTCCTCCAGGGTGGCCAGTGTGGTGGACGCGGCTAAGGGAGTGGTCCAGGGAGGACTGGACACCACCCGGTCTGCACTCACAGGCACCAAGGAGGCGGTGTCCAGCGGGGTCACGGGGGCTGTGGACGTGGCTAAGGGCGCCATCCAAGGGGGCCTGGACACCTCAAAGGCTGTCCTCACTGGCACCAAGGACACGGTGTCCACTGGGCTTACGGGGGCAGTGAACGTGGCCAAAGGGACTGTCCAAACCGGGGTGGACACCTCCAAGACTGTGCTAACGGGTGCCAAGGACACCGTCTGCAGTGGGGTGACCGGTGCTGTGAATGTGGCCAAAGGGACTGTCCAAGGGGGCCTGGACACGACAAAATCTGTCCTGACTGGCACTAAAGACACTGTGTCCACAGGAGTTATGGGGGCAGTGAACTTGGCCAAAGGAACCATCCAGACTGGCATGGACACCAGTAAGACCGTGCTGACTGGCACCAAGGACACCGTCTGTAGCGGGGTAAGTGGTGCCATGAACTTGGCCAAAGGGGCCATCCAGACCGGTGTGGACACCAGCAAGACCGTCCTAACCGGTACCAAGGACAC